CCCCTCCCCTCAAAAAAAAAACAAAAAAAAACCGGTATCTGTTCGATTGCTGACAAAGAGGTACACACAGCTTGGACGAGTTCAAGGCTCTCGTCGACTCCGGTGACAAGATCATCGTCGACTTCAAGGCCGTCTGGTGCGGTCCTTGCAAGGCCATCTCTCCCATCTTTGAAAAGTACGTCTTCCTCCTCCTCTTCTCCCCCCCACCTCTCGTATGCCGTCTAACGTCTCTGAACCCCGACCCTAGGCTCTCCGACTCGGCCGACTTTGAGAATATCAAGTTCGTCACCGTCGACGTCGACGAGGCCCCCGAGATCAGCCAGGAGGTCGGCGTCAGCGCCATGCCCACCTTCATCACCTTCAACGGCGGCAACAAGGTTGGCACCCTGACCGGTGCCATCCCCGCCAAGCTCGAGGAGCTCATCAAGTCGGTCCACGCCCTCTAATCGCGATACCCTTTTATCTACGAAAAGAAGAACTGTAATACAATGAGCGGAGCGGATGAATAAAAAAAAACAAACTTGATCAGAGCGAGACCTTTCTGCTCTTGTTTCCCTCTTTTCTTTTTTGGGAGGGAGGGTTTTGCAGTGTCTTGTTATTCTTATGTGATGCAAATGTTATTAAAAAAAAATATAGCGAACCTGAGTACAAAACATTGTACCGAAGGGGGAAAAAAAAAGCCTCGATTGGCATGCATGTCTGGAATATCTGCATGACATATATACATTGTACATATTACTACATGCTGATGGTCGGGGTGCACGTTTTTATTTTTATGAATTTCCTTTTTTAATAATATCTATCCGATTCGTATGGCAACGAGGTTATGCGTGCATGTCACGGGGTCGTACCTACTACGCACATCCACCCGCCCGTCGCGTCACAGGGTAAACGTGTCTCAAGAGCGTCAAAAAAACGTCAAGAGCTCACTTTGAATAGCAACACCTCTCTCTCTCTCTCTCTCTCTGCGCCTCGCTCCCACCACACCCACCAGGCGCAAACGCAGACGTTGCAGCGCGGGAAGACTGGAAAAGAAAAGAAAGAACAAGGGGAAAAGAAGAGAGAAAGAGAAGAAGAATAAGAAGAAGAGGATGGCCGACCGCACGCTTCCATGGCCCATTCAGGATGCCATCGATATCATGGCCGGTCGCCACACTCTGTCAAAGTACATCCCCCCTGTTCTCTGGCTATTCGATGGTGTCTTGACCAGTCTGATAATCTGGAAGGTTCCTTGTGAGTCTTCTTCTTGCTTCTCTCCCTCTCTCCTCCTCTCCTCCTCTCCCTCTCTCTCACTCTCTGCCCTTTTCCTTGTCAATAAATACATCATGTATATATACATATGTATATACATGAGAATTTGAGGAACCATTTGAAAAAAAAAACCATAATCTGACAGGAGAAACAAGACACCGAAATCGATTGGGTCGCCTACATGGAGCAGATTGGCCAGTTTGTCGCCGGGGAGAGAGACTACACCAAGATGGCCGGCGGGACCGGTCCCCTCGTCTACCCTGCCGCTCACGTCTACACCTTCACGGGGCTGTACTATCTCACTGACCGAGGGAAGAACATCCTCCTGGCTCAGCAGCTGTTTGCCGTCTTGTACATGGGTACGTTGGCACTGGTGATGCTGTGCTACTGGAAGGCCAAGGTATGTCCTCCCTCTCTATTCCACCCTCTCCTCTTCTTCTCTTTCCTCTCTCCTTCTTTCTCCTTCTTTTCTTCTTCTCCTTTCATCTTTTTTTCACTTTGTTGTGTGTGTATATATATGTGTGTGTGCGTGTGTGCGTGTGTGCGTGTGCGAGAGAGAGAGAGAGAGAGAGAGAGAGAGAGAGAGAAAGAGAGAGGGATGAAAAATGTAATGATTTATATATATATATGAGGAAAACTAATGCGGTTCTACTGCAATCAAGGTACCACCATACGTATTCTCCGTCCTGGTCCTTTCCAAACGACTCCACAGCATCTTCGTCCTGCGTTGCTTCAACGACTGCTTCGCCGCCTTCTTCCTGTGGCTGTCCATCTTCTGCTTCCAGCGACGGATGTGGACCTTGGGCGCCGTCGCGTACGCCTGGGGCCTGGGCATCAAGATGTCCCTCCTGCTCGTGCTCCCGGCCGTGGCCGTCGTGCTGTTCCTCGGCCGTGGACTGCGGGGCAGCCTGCGGCTTCTCTGGCTGGTGCTGCAGGTCCAGGTGGCCATGGCCGTCCCCTTCCTCACCACCAATGCGGGCGGCTACCTGGGCCGGGCGTTCGAGCTCTCCCGCCAGTTCAAGTACGAGTGGACCGTCAACTGGCGCATGCTCCCGGAGGACGTGTTCCTGAGCCGCGAGCTGGCCGTCGCCCTGCTGGCGGGCCACGTCGGCGTGCTCCTCCTCTTCATCGGCAACAGGTGGGTGGCGCGCGCGACGGCCGGCAGGTCGCCGTGGGCCATGATCCCCGACCTGCTGCGTCTGCGGTCCCCGTTCCGCACCAGGAGGGAGGAGGAGGACGTCGCCGGCAGGGTCACGCCGGATCTCGTCATGTCCACCATGCTCACGGCAAACGTCGTCGGCCTGCTCTTCGCCAGGTCCCTCCACTACCAGTTCTACGCGTACCTCTCCTGGGCGACGCCGTACCTCATCTGGAGGGCGGGCCGCGCCGGTGCCGGCGTCTGGGCAGTATGGATCCTGCAGGAGTATGCGTGGAACGTCTTCCCCAGCACGGACCTGAGCTCTGCCATCGTCGTCGCATCGCTGCTTTTTACCGTCTGCGCTGCGTATCTGGCACCCGCAGAGGAGGAGATGCATGCGGATGATGGCGATGAGCAGCAGTTGTCTGCCGCTACTGAGTCCAGCAAGACAAGGTGATGCGGCCGTGCGTATGGTGACATCTTTCTTCTTTCATTCTATCTCCTTTTCTACTCATCATCTTCGGAATCGCTGGGCGGCATCTTGCCAACGTTTGATTCGTCTTCGGAATCGCTCTCCCGGCGGGTGAACTCTTTGGGCCTGGGGTTTTTTTTTGGTTTTTTTTTTTGGGTGTTGTTTGTCAGTCATCTTCAATGCGCCGGAGATGCAAGAAAAAAAAGGACAGGCATACCAGTACGACTGCTTCCGCCAGAACTTTTCGTCCCTCACGATATTCACAATCTCCCCCACGGCTCGCGCATCCTGCGTATCACCCTGGTACATCTCCGCCAGGACAAAACCCCTCCGTCGGACCCAGATGGTGTTGCGGAACCGCTGAGCCAGCTCGAGAACTAGCGTCTTGCTGTCGGGAAGCTCACACCTGTACAGGTTGTTGCCCTCTGGCTTGACGACTCGGACGACGGACTGGTTGGGCTGGAGGGAGTCGGGAGGATTGAGGGATTCCTCTGCTGCGGCGAGGACGTTGCGCTTTGGGCGACCCATACCTGCGTTTCTCTATCGTCTCCGCTCTTGTATTGTTTATTGTTGTGTATAATTAGACGGGGAAATGAGAAAGATGAAGAAGAAGAGAAGAACCCATCAAGGAGTATATTTCTCCCCTAAAACTTGATGCTGGAAGAAAAATCTACGTGGGGCAATCTGGTGCGCCGTTGATGTGGAGGAGCTTGGCGGTGGCGCGGGGTTTGGACGTTAGTAATATTATTACTGTAAAATGATAGTAAACATTCCAGAACAGACAGAGCATAGAGGTGCAGATTACAAAACGCGGAACCACACACTACGGAGTAACCGATAGTCCGGAGGTATTGCTGGTGTGATTTGATTTATATTGCTTAGTTGTGCCTCGATCGCTGAGCGTAGCATCCCTATTGGGGCAAGCTCATCCCCGACTCTTCTTGAAGATCTGCTTGGCAGCCGGCTTCATGATTCCTCTCCTCAGCCGAGCTGTAATGGTAGATGGACTGAAGCGTCGGGTCGTCGACGGTAGCACAGATCCAGGGCCGGATGGCCGTCATGTGCCGTTTCTCCATCTCGTTCTCGCGAACCTCCTGCTCGTACCCTTCACATATGCCAAACAAAGAAAACAAAATGTACCCTCAATCGCTGCCTCGTCGCTGCCTCGAACTTGACGTCCTCTCTCACACGCCTTCACCGAGTAATTCGTCCGCTTCGGTCCAGGCTCTCAATCAACTGCGGGACAGAGTAAAGATGTGGAACCACGCTATTACCGAGTGATCGATCCTACTATCCATCCCTTGATCGCACGATACCAGATACCCACAAGGGACTGCCACTGGCACCACTAGTCGCTACTACTATTAACCGTGTACATTCACAGCTACCGACCGCGATGCCGTCGGTCACATTTCCTCGGTCCTACAAGGGGGGGGGGAGGAGGAGGGGGTTCCTACAGGGGGATCCTACAGGAGGGGAAGGAACCTATTTTGAAAATGTGTCAAGCGTGAAAAGTCTGGATATTGTTTCTTTAATTGCAAGGTTGCTTTTTGATATACTGGTCAGGTATCTAATTCTAAAGGGGAGGTTTGCGTCTATAAAGGCGTCTATAAAAAAAACATCTATCCAAGTGTTTCAGACGGGATGGGTGTGCGTGCGTGTCTATGCGAATATGTATTCTCTCCATCCCATCTTTATTATGACGTGGGGTTCTCTGACCACGTATGTTGAGACTCCTTCACATGCTGTGTGACTTGTCTCCTCTCTCTTCTTTTCCCATCGTCCTGCAAATCACAGGCGTTCTCGGAAAGAAGACGAGAGATGAAGAGAAGGGAGCAGCCTAGATGCGTCCCTTGGCAGACTCCTGGACGGTAACTTTGCCGGCAACGATGTCCTTGCAGGTCTGGAAGATGGTGGACCAATCGCGGAAGGTAACGAAGGGGACATTTTCGTTCTCACAGTAGGTGACAAGGTCTGTGCATGGGGGGTTAGAACGTATTCCAGGAGCAGATGGAAAGAAAGAAAGAGAGAGGGAGAGGGAGAGGGAGAGGGAGAGGGAGAGGGAGAGAGTGTGTGTGAGTGAGTGTGAGTGTTTACCCTTGTCAGCCTTTGCAAAGAGGAGATCCGTCTCCTTGGCAGCGGACAGATCGGAGACGCCGTCACCGGCGTAGAAGAGGGTAGGCCGGTTAGGGAGGGACGAGTACTTGCGGATCTCGATGGACTTGTCGTGGCCGTGGATGCTGTCGTCGTGGTACTTGATGGTCCACCCGGCCTTCTCGTTGATGGATTCCTTGCCCGGGGCGACCTGGACGTCGTTGCTGACGATCTGGATGTCCCAGGTGCCGTTGCCGAGGAGGGTGTCGAGCAGGTTGCTGATGACGGGGGTCATGCCTCCGCTGAGGATGATGACGGGGATATTGTTCTCGCGGGCCCAGGTGTAGAACTCCTTGAAGTAGGGGTCGAGCTTGATGTTGGCCTCGAGAAGGCGGACGCACTCGTCAAAGGGCGTGTCGACGCTGTCGAGCATCTTCTGGAAGGTGTCGCGGAAGTGGCTGGTACCCGAGAGGACCTCCTTGTTGAGCTCCTCACGGCGCTCGCGGCCGAAGCCCAGGTTGTCGGTCATCCAGTCGTTTGAGTCGGCCGTGGTGACGGTGCCGTCAAAATCCGTGAAGAAGATGAATTTGGGGTTGGAGGCCATGGCGGGCGCGGCGTCGGCGGAAGAAGACATGATGGTCCTGCCTGTCTGTATCTCCCGGCTTTCGATTCCTTTCGTTTCCTTTCGAGAGCAGTGCTGGTGTTCCTCGGGAAGATGTACGTGAAATACAAGGCGGCACAGAGGGTGATGTCGACTGACGTAGTGGTTGAGGTGTAATAAATGTTTTATTTTTAATGAAAAAGGAGGGGGAGGGGCAGATCAACGGAGTGGAGGGGCATTATTATTAGTCTAATAGCAATATTACGTACGTACTTTACGCGCTGCCGCTCCGATGCCTCCCAGACCAGCTAACGGCAAGTCTTTCTTTCTACTTCTTTTTCTCTCTCTCCTTCCTCCCTCTTTATATATACAAAATTAATTTTAAATTATTCTTTTTTTTCAAAAAAAAAACACTCTCTTTTTCTCTGCTTACAATTAGTCGTGTCATCATCAATTTGGTTTCCAACTCGTTGAGCAAAAAGGCGCATCTTCTCTGCTTCCCCATCCATGAGGGCATCCCTCCATCTCCCGGACACCACCCCCCCCACCTTTAGCGCTGCACTCGCTGTATTTCGGCCTTCGGCCTCCCCTGAGAAGCGGATCGGAACCGCTGGGGCATCGTCGGGCCCAACAGAAGACTGAGAGCTGCCCGCGACGTACCCACCAGAGAATGAAATATTCCGGAAGGCGGTCAGGGGGTGGTGGCATTGACGAGTCTGGCAGAATCCTCGGAAGCTCCCCATCTGACCGTCAACACACACTTTCTTCTCAATTGATGGGAGGGAAAAACTCCAGACGATCGACCTTCCCTCCCCCCGCCCTCTGAGACGCGACCGCCGCAAGTCTCGTTCTCACTCAGAACTGCTCCCCCTTCCTCCCAACCCCCCACGGAGATGCAAGCTCTAGGTCGTCCGGTGGCTCACGTCGCCGTCGGAAGACCTTTGCTGGGCATCCGGCTGGCATCGCGGTCGGGACTCGGCATACAGCGGCATCCGGGCCGAGAGCAGCAGCAGCAGCAGCAGCAGCAGCGGGGACATGCCTGTCTGCAGCACCGGACACGAGTCGCCCATACACGATTCTTTTCTTCTTCCCCACCGCCAAAGACGGATGACAAGGAGTCGGCATCGCCGGAATCCCCGTCACCAAAGGAGCAGGAGCAGGTACAGCGAGAACCGCAGCAGCGGCAGCAGCCGCAAACCCCTCCCAAAGACACCACCTCGGCACGTACACTGGCCAATCAAGCGATCGAGATGAAGGAGCGGTTCAGCCAACTGATGGACCGACTTCAGAACCGGACCTTGGACGCGTCGCACACCATGAACGACCTGACGGGGTACTCTGCCATCGAGGCGATCAAGGCGGAGAACGCGACGCTGGAGCGGGACCTGGCATCTGCGCACGCCGCGCTCCACGCGGCGCGGCAGTCGTACAAGTCCTCCAACACGCGGCGGGCGGCGACGCAGCGCGAGGTGACGACCCTGCTGGCGCGCAAGGAGTCGTGGACGCCGACCGACCTGGAGCGCTTCACCGAGCTGTACCGCACCGACCACGTGCTGGAGGGGGAGGTGTCGGCGGCGCAGGAGGCCCTGACGGAGGCCGAGGCCGCCGAGCAGGCGCTCGGCCAGCGCCTCAACTCGGGCATCCTCAAGCGGTACCACGAGGAGCAGATCTGGAGCGACAAGATCCGCAGGGCGAGCACCTGGGGCACATTCGGCCTCATGGGCATGAACTTCCTGCTCTTCCTCGTCCTGCAGTTCGTCGCCGAGCCGTGGAAGCGCAAGAGGCTCGTCAACGGCGTCGTGGCCCAGGAGAAGGAGGCCCTCATGGAGGTCCGGGCCGAGCTGGAGGCCGTCAAGTCCGCTCTCGTGGCCAGGCGGGAGGAGGAGGGCGGCCGGATGAAGCCGCCGGCGGAGGAGGAGCTGATGGTCGACAAGATGATCGCCGCCGCGGACGATGCCACGGTCACGGTCAAGGCCGCGGCAGCAGAGGTCGAGACGCCGTCACCGTCGTCATCGTCGTCACCGGCGCCGGCACCGGCACCGACAACCGCCCCTGCGGTGGCTGACGAGGCCGAGGCGCAGGCTCGGGCTGGGCCGTGGGAAGGTCTCGCCTGGAGGCAGCTTCTCGCCGAACCTGCCAGGTGGACAGAGGCGGCCAAGGATCTGTACAGCGAACGGCAGTTGCATCTACGCATGAGGGACGTGTCTGCCGTGGCGTTGGAGGGCGTGGCCATCGGGGCCGCCATGGCCGGGAGCGTTGCCTGGATGCTTTCCCGGAGGAGTTAGAGGACAGTAGTAGGAAGTCACCATATCATTCCTTGTACCATTACCGGGGGGTTTTTTTTTTCCTTTCCTTTTTTCATCCATCGCATCTATGTATTAGAACCATTCATCTATATTTCTCTATGAAGTGTCTTGTATCACCACCCCCCCTTCCCCCTCCCTCCCCTCTCTTCTCTTCCTTCTTCTCCTTCCCACGAGATGATGGGCCGGAATTTCGGAAGGCGATGTGTGACGGTCGGCAACATTCCAGCTAACCGGCTGATTATATATAACTCAGGTAGGAGTACCTGATATATGGATGCTGCTCATACCGTTTCAAGCTGCTGAGTTCCATGACTCTGTCCGTTTCTGTTAGCACAGGGTTACGATGCCCTTGACTGGACGTTTCTTCCGTTCTTATCATTGCGGCTTCTACTGATACTGATGCTACCCATGCTACTGCTGCTACGCCTCCCTCTCCTCCCTCTTCCGCCACAGGGACTCTTATCATGAGCGTATCACCAGCCCCTCATGGGATATAGCTAGTTTCGCATTATCCTCAGTTTTTAGCCTCGTCTCGTGCCCCAACTGTGTGATTGTGAGACCATTGCATCCTTTTTCAATGTTTTTCTTGTAAATATTTTGAAATCTCTAATTCTCTATTTTTTTTTGCCCTCTCCTTTCCTCTCTGCCGTCGGTGGCAATTCGTCTACCGTCTCTTGCAGCGGGGCGGGCACGAAGGGCTATCAAACGGACCGAGAACATGATGGTCGCGCCCAGGATCAGGGAGCGACACGTAGGAGCCATAGCCAAGGTTAAAGTCGAAAGCCGATTTCTTCTTGTCCATAAATCATTGGCTGGTTGGTCAGCCGTGAATCGTGAAGGAAGCAGAGGATCGGTTGTCTACTCCGTAGTGGGTCGTGTAGTACTCGCATCATCTTTACGGGGTAATACGGAATATCCGTACGTGCAGTAATAATGAAATAATAAGAATAATCACAATACTACGGAGTGGCCTCCCCCGAGAGCCGCCCTGTCATCCCTCCGGCGCTGCACTATTGATATTATATCATATCACCGAGCTGCGGACTTGATCAACGTCTAATCTTACCCCTCATTCGCGGCCCCGGCTTTTGGAGGTACCTGGAAAACAGGGGGGAGGGGGGGGGGTCCGGGGTTGACTAGCACCCACCTGCGCAGTGTGATGATATTATTACAAGTCATAAAGAGACATCATCAGACTCGCCGTCGACTTGATACCGTGCAGACCAGATATCGTCATCGTCGTCCATGGTGTTCCGGTTGAACTTTCGCCTCATAAGTGTCAACCGAGTTCCTCGCGTCGAGATGTTGGTGAGTAAAGTCTCCTCCGAGCACTCCGTGGCCAGCCCTTTTGTGATCCCTGAGAAGCTCGTCAATGTACTCCTGTGACTCTCTGTCAACAGGCTCCGCCTTTGTCCTTGATATCCCTTACAAGAGTTTTCATCATGTCAGAGAAGCGTGCGGATGCGGCATCCGCACTCTCCGAGCACGCGCTTCGTGGCGGGCACAACATTCGAGGCTGGGACGATCCGAGGCAGTTCTGGGAGTGTCATCCTGCCACGAGGCAACTTTGGGTTTCTTTTCAAGAATGGTGGGAGCAGCCCGTTCCAGAGATATCCATCAGATTAGATGGTGACATGGCTCGCTTGGCCATATAACTTACCTTGCAGGGATTCACGCTGCCATCACCGAGTGAGCCGACAGCCTAGAACGAGTGGCCATACATCACCCCTCCCTTGCCCCCTCGGGCTTCGGGGTCCATCCTGACGCCTTTCCCCTGCTTCCGGCGACGAAGCCCAGGTACTCTGTGGTCTGCATCTCGAACTCGCATTCCCTGCGATCCGATCTTCGGCTGGCTCTGTAGAGCTTCTCAAGTACCTGACTCACCTCGTGCCCGTCATCTCTTCTCAACGCTCGGCAGTCGCGACCGAATCGTAACCACCTCCGGGCTTTCGCGCGAGGGGCACCGGCGCAGCCGCCGGAGAGTTTCCGGCACGTATGGATCCTCTGTAACGGCTAGCTCGTCCCGTTGTCTTCCGCAGTGCTAGGAGTTCGTCCCTTGACGTGTTGTATAGAGGGGTCCCTAGGGAGCCTCCGGTGGATTGCCATCCTCGTCTTTGTCGAGTTCGATCTTGTGGTCGACAGCTGGTTGTGGGGGTGGGAACCTCCCAGGCTCTTTTTTGGTCGAGGAGTTTTAGAAAACTCCAGGGTTCACCCGATCCGGCAGAGCTAGCTTTGCACCCTCTGGAGGCTTTTCTGCCAGTTCCTTGCTGATGTCTGCCAGGCTGGCCGCAAGCACCCGGTACTTCCTCGATTTCCGTCGACGCACCAGGAGGCAAAATCCAGCTGCTCCAACGGGCAGTCCCTCGGATTCTCGCTAGGCTGACTTCTTGCTTCGTAGCCAAACCTGTTTTCTTTTTGGAAGGCCAATGTCCTGGCTGTCCTGGCTGTCGGGTCGACGAGAACCTCTTCTTGTCGTTGCAATGCATGGCAATTTCCATAGGATGTCGTAACCGTCGAGCTTGGCACTATGCGGAGGAACATGCGCCCTTGTTGGTGTCCGCTGATGTCTGCTTCGATCCATGCCACTTCGTTGATCTACCTGTCGTCGGCGTCCGACTCTGCGGTAGTCTCTGGACAGGGGCACCTATTCTCGGTTGACAGTGCAGATCCGATGGGCTAGTAGCTAGAGTAATGCGTGTGATTATTTTCGGGAGATACGTAGAAGGCTATGTGTGAGGTCTATATCGAGTTCATCGAGTTGAGGTTGGAAGAATAGCCAGGTGGTTGATGGGACCACAAGCTGTACGGAGTACGTAAGCAGGAGTCAGGCGCGAAACGGCAGAGCGAAACGGCAGGACGCTTGTTCTTCTACCTGTGGAATTGAGGTGAAGTCGAAAAAAAAAATGAACGGATCGGACTCCAGCAATTGAAATGCAGCAATTGAGCTGGAGTGTAGCATCTGATCGAGAGCTATGGTGTGGTGACACAGGTATCTGGAGATGTTGGATCGCCACTACACGGGACAGACATGTAATGTATTATCTAATACAACAGTAGTAGTAGTACGAGGGCCGCATCGTCAGCACCAAGTACCAGCGCCGACGACCAGCGACGTGAAATAAGAAGGGAAGAAGAATCCAGCAACAGAATGATTCTGAGATGATATATCAGATGACAGATGGAAGAACAGAATAACAAAGCGAGACACTTGTTTTCTTCCTCAGAGCGTGGGAAATGAAAGAGTGCATTGCATTTCTATTAGTGGGATGGAGCGGGGTATTAGAATGTATTATGCAAGATGAATGCGTAGGCTACAGGACCGTTCAGGTGGGAGATAGAAGAACGAGACATGTTTAGTAACTGGAGACAAAGTACGAAGAAGAAGTAGGAGGAATCAAGAGAGAACGACAGACGTAGAGATAAGAAGGTGAAGAGGGTGAAGGTCTATGTTGCAAGGAAGGGTGAGACGCGGCTGGTAGTACGTGAGTGGATGGCGGGGTAGAGACTACTAGATGACGGATTCCGAAGAAGAGGGATGGATGGAATGTGCAAGAGAGGATCGATGCAGTGCGAGGTCAGGTGAAGGTGTGAAGTGTAATACGAGAACCGAGTTAGAGAGGGAGAGTGAGTTGTGAAGAGGAAATAATAAAAAAAGAGAAAAGAAAAGGAAAAGTAGGGAATGAGGCGGACGGGATGGGGGAAAAGGAGAAGGAATCGTTCGACGTCACCAGGTCTCAGACAAGTCAATTCCCCATCACAGAGCAAGTGACGCGCCAAGGCTACAAGGTAGGAAGAGCTACTTACTATCATGGACAAATGCGATCCCAATCCGACGAGCTCCAAGACCTCACCTACCATCGGCATGTATGCATCCACCTTGAACATAGCAGCCTTCCTGGCCTGCAGATAGCGAACCGCCGTAACGAATCCTCCGAGCCGGCAAGAGCGTCAGCGCTCGTGCCCGGCGCGGCAGATGGTGCCGTAAGCTGTCTGCTATGGCCGGGGCCGTAGAGTGATCTGATAGAGTGATCTGATCCTGTGAGCCGGGATAAGCGACAAGTGCTTATCGTGGCAGATGGTGCTCCAAGTCCTGTGCCATGGCCGAAGCCGTAGCAGAGCTATTCGAGTCGGGGAAGTCTCCTTGCTCCTCGTGGTGCTCAGCAGAGAAACAGGCTTCGATGAGGCGCTTCCTAGCACCCTCCATTATCCGATGTATCTTGAGACAGCTGTTGATATCTCCATAGCAGAAAGGGGGGCGTACTTGATGGAAGAAGTTGGAGGGAAGAGTACTTATGTGGCCATGAAGGAGGGGTCGGGCCTCGGCCAGGGTGGAGGCACGTGACCACAGATTGGAGGGATCAGAAAACGGGATCCCCGACTGCGACACACGAATTACGATACAATCATACAACAACAAGATAGAAACGAAGAAAAAAAGACAAAAAAAAAAAGACACATAGGAAAGAAAGTCGCGCACGCCCTCGCGTGTGACCGACACTTTTTCGATCTCGCCCATCATGAACGAAGACGAAGCGATTCACAATATCCAAAAGAAGATTGATAGGGAAAAGGCCCTCATCAATGCCGCCAATGCTATGCGTTCCCAGACAAATAATGAGGCCGTCCGATCCCGTCTAGACTCGCAGCTTCGTGATGGCCGGCGGAACATTCAGTTCTTCGAGGAGAAGATGCGCGATATCCAGATGCGTCGCGTCAACTCGGGCATGGACGCCATGTCCATGAGCTCTGCCGGCGGCACTGGTTCGTCCTCGGGCGCCACCGTCGTCGCCGACTTCGACGACCAGCACTCCACCCCCCCCGCACCGCCGCCCAAGGACCCCGCCGCCTGGGGGGACCGTGCCGGATACGGGAGTCAGAACTATTCCAAGCATGGTGGTGGGAGCGGCAGTGTCGGTGGCCCCGGCGACCTCATGCCTCCTCGTCATCCTTATGCGCCTCCCGGCCCTGCCTCGGGCATGCCAAAGGGCAGACCCAACTTCACCAAGCTCGGTACGACCTCGCCTTCCTCTCCCCTCCTCGCGCGTTCGTTGCGCTCGCACCCCTTGCTGACCATCGACGTCTATAGACCTCATCAAATACGATAACCCCTACCTCGGTCCGCGCATCCAGCTCATGCTCTCCCAGATCCAGTTCAAGCTCAACGTCGAGGAGCAGTACCTCAAGGGTGTCGAGAAGATGGTCCAGCTCTACGGAATGGACGGAGATAGGAAGAGCAAGGCCGACGCGGCTGCCAGGAAAGTGGAGAGCAAGCAGAAGATTGTTCTGCTCAAGCAGGCCCTCAAGAGATACGAGGAGCTCCACATCGACACCGACTCGGCTGATAATCAGGATGGTCAGTCCTCCTTCCCCCCTTTCCCAGACTTCTCTTTCCCCACAGATGCCCTCTCCCCCCGTTCAAGGTCACGGGGGGAGGGGGAGAAGAAGAGGAAAGAAGGGAAGGAAAAAAGAAAAAAAAAAGGAGAAAACCAAGATGTCCTGTTCTTGACTAACCCCGCACTCTCCCCGCACCCTCTCCAGACGATTCCATCAACATGCCCAACCTTCGCAAGCCGCTGAGCGGCCAACTCGCCATTCGCGTCCTTGCCGTCCAAGACGTCGACCACGCCGCCACGTCGAGATTCGCCCGCGGACCCGAGACGTTTGTCGCCGTCAAGATCGAGGACACGGTTGGCGCCCGCACCCGCGCCTCACGAAACGACCGCTGGGAGGCCGAGTACCACACCATCGAGGTGGACAAGGCCAACGAGATCGAGCTGACCGTCTACGACAAGCCGGGCGAACACCCGCTGCCCATCGGCCTGCTGTGGGTCAGGTTATCTGACATTGTCGAGGAGATACGCCGCAAGAGGATAGAGGCCGAGATGAACAGCTCCGGCTGGGTTTCGGCTGACCGGATGGGCAACCCCGCCAGCCCCACGGCGGCCCCCGACCAGTTCCCCATGAGCCCCACGCAGGGCTCTTTCAGTCCCGGTGCCGGTGCCGGTGCCGGTGCCGGTGCCGGCGCCGGCGGCGACGACGGATTTGCTGGCGCCGTCCCCGCCCCCCTCCCGCAGGTCAACACCGGCCCTATAGACGGCTGGTTCAACCTCGAGCCCACCGGCCGCATCCGCCTGCAGATGAGCTTCAACAAGACGAACCGCGACAGCCGGCCCGTCGACCTCGGCCTAGGCCGTAAGGGCGCCGTCCGTCAGCGCAAGGAGGAGGTGCACGAGATGTACGGCCACAAGTTCGTCCAGCACCAGTTCTACAACATCATGCGCTGTGCCCTCTGCGGCGAGTTCCTCAAGTACTCGGCCGGCATGCAGTGCGAGGACTGCAAGTACACCTGCCACAACAAGTGCTACCCCAGCGTCGTCACAAAGTGCATCAGCAAGAGCAACGCCGAGACCGACCCGGACGAGGAGAAGATCAATCACCGCATCCCTCACAGGTTCACACCCTTCTCCAACATGACGGCCAACTGGTGCTGCCACTGCGGATACATTCTGCCCTTTGGAAAGAAGAATTGCAGGAAATGCTCGGGTACGTCCTCTTTTTTATTATTTTATTTTACTCCCCGCCCACGAGTTTACCCTTGTTGCCCTTCTCACCCCCCAAGTTTACCCTTATTCCTTCCCCCAAACCTTACATGGCTAACACAAATCTAAAAAAAAACTGCTCACAGAATGTGGCCTCACGTCCCACGCTCAGTGCGTTCACCTGGTCCCTGACTTTTGCGGTATGTCCATGGCCACGGCCAACCAGATCCTCGAGGGTATCCGCGTCCAGAAGCAGCGCCAGGCAAAGGTCACGTCTCTGAGCGACAAGACTCTGCGTCCCGGAAAGTCCAGTCCGGTAACGTCTCACTCTCACTCGTCTTCCTACACCGGATCTACCCACGGCGGGTTTGGAGGAGGCCCCTCGGCCGAGGCCACCGAGGCCGCCAAGGCCATGTACGCCAGCCAGGCGCAGCAGCCGCAGCAGAGACCTCCCGGCCCCGACCGCACGTCGTCCGGCACGACTGCTGCAGCTGCTGCTTCGGCCGCCATGACCGGCCCCGCCGCTGGCCAGCGTCCCCCGCAGACGGACCCTTACGGCGCCTCGTCTGGCGGCGCCTACGACGACCCTTACGGCCAGCCCCAGCAGCGCAAGTACAACCCGCAAGACTACGCGAGCGTCACACCAGGCTACGCCAGCCCGCCGCCCGTGCAGCAGCAGTCCCCACCCGTGCAGCAGCCGGCGGCGGCCTCTCAGCCCCTCCCCACGCAGCAGCAGGCAGCGGCCTACGCGGCCCCCCCCAGCGTCCCCTCACACAAGGAGGAGCCAGCACCGCAGATCACGTCGCCGACCGAGGTCTCGACGCAGCGCCGACCCCTGCCCCTGGCCACGGACGCCGGAACGGGCAAGCGCATCGGCCTGGACCACTTCAACTTCCTCGCCGTGCTGGGCAAGGGCAACTTTGGAAAGGTGATGCTGGCGGAGACGAAGCGGTCGCGCCGGCTGTACGCCATCAAGGTGCTGAAGAAGGAGTTCATCATCGAGAACGACGAGGTGGAGTCGATCCGGTCGGAGAAGCGCGTGTTCTTGGTGGCTAACCGCGAACGACACCCGTTTCTGACGAACCTGCACGCGTGCTTCCAGACGGAGACGAGGGTGTACTTCGTCATGGAGTACATCTCTGGCGGCGACCTGATGCTGCACATCCAGAGGGGCCAGTTCGGCAGCAAGCGGGCGCAGTTCTACGCGGCCGAGGTCTGCCTGGCGCTCAAGTACTTCCACGAGAACGGCGTCATCTACCGCGATCTGAAGCTGGACAACATCCTGCTCACGCTGGACGGGCACATCAAGATTGCCGACTACGGCCTCTGCAAGGAGGACATGTGGTACCGGTCGACGACGAGCACCTTTTGCGGCACGCCCGAGTTCATGGCACCCGAGATCCTGCTGGACAAGAAGTACGGCCGCGCCGTCGACTGGTGGGCCTTTGGCGTGCTCATCTATCAGATGCTCCTGCAGCAGTCGCCCTTCCGCGGAGAGGACGAGGACGAGATCTACGATGCCATCCTGGCCGACGAGCCGCTCTACCCCATCCACATGCCGCGCGACTCCGTGTCCATCCTGCAGAAGCTCCTGACACGCGAGCCCGACCAGCGCCTCGGCAGCGGGCCCACCGACGCCCAGGAGGTCATGAGCCAGCCCTTCTTCCGGAACATCAACTGGGAGGATATCTACAACAAGCGCGTCGCGCCGCCGTTTATGCCCCAGATTAAGAGCGCTACCGATACGAGTAACTTTGACTCCGAGTTTACCAGTGTCACTCCTGTTCTTACACCTGTTCAATCTGGTAGGTCTTTTCACGCTCATCTCCTTCCTTCTTCATCACCTCTACCATCAATCCATCCGGTTACGCACTCTGATTACCATACTAACACGGCCGACAGTCCTTTCACAAGCCATGCAAGAAGAATTCAGGGGATTCTCCTACACGGGTGACTTTGATTAAAACAATAACATCAACTGAAAAAGAAGAGAAGAGAAGAAAAGAAAAAAAAAAGTACGGAGAACGAGAAAAGAAAAAAGAAGAGATGATGAACAAGGTTACTCTTTTTTTTTCTCTCTCTTCCTTCCTCTCATCTCATCTCCCAGAGGGGGGAAAAAACCCCCCCCATATTTCACTCTTTCTATGGCATGGCAAATCGTATCTATTCCTAGGAAGGCAGGATGTCTTGGAGTATAGTTCGATACTGATATACGTTGAAGATTTTTGATGGCCAAAAAGAAGGTAGGATGATGTGGATATACACGCACCTTGACGATGATGACGATGACCCGGATGAGAAGACGAATATGACGAGGATATAAAGGAACACGAGAGCAAGCATGTCGAAGAAAGGGACAAAAACATGTCAAATCTGTGGAGGGAAAAGGAAGGATATGCTTGCCAAAGAAGAAGAAAGGGGAGAGGGAAAGAGGACAGGGAAGGGAAAGAAAGAGGAGAATGGACCTGGCCATGTGCGAATGAGAGCGTATTCAATCTTTTTTGTTCTTCTATTACCTTTTTTCTTTTTTTCCCCCAAACGGTTCATTTTTATTATTACGGCCGCCTGATATTCATCTGGAGGGGAGAGACGATGGCAACAACAAGTAACGTATTCTATCATCTTGGTTTACTAGTATATCGGCTGTTTGATTACACGTGAAAGCCAATCTATGAAGTGTACTCTTTCTGGAGGAGCTTGGCAATGGTATTGAGTCTGTTTGTGTTAGCATTGTACGGGGAGTGTGGGGAGGAGAAGGGGGAGAGGAAGGATGGGAAGGGAAAGGAAAGCAGCAGAGAAAGAAGAAGGGTAGGGGGAGTAGGAGGAGAGAGGAAGAAGGACTGACTGGATATTGCTGGTACCCTCATAGATGGCACCGATCTTACTATCGCGGTAGAACTTCTCGGCGAGGCCCTCGCGGACGAAGCCCATGCCGCCCATCCACTCGACGGCGAGGCCGCTGACGCGACCGGCGACCTGGGCGGCGTACAGCTTGGCCATGGCGGCGTCGCGGACAAAGTCCTCGCCGGCCTCCTTCTTGCGGGCGGCGTTGTAGACGAGGGCGCGGGCGGCGGCGATCTCGGTGTATGACTGGGCCATCTGGTGCTGCATGCCCTGGAACTCGCCGACGAGGGAGCCGAACTGGCGGCGGTCGTTCCAGACGTAGCGGGCCGCGTTCTCCCAGGCTCCGAGGGCGAGGCCGGTCATCTGGGCGGCGATGCCGATGCGGCCCTCGTTGAGGAGGCCGATGGCGTACTTGTAGCCCTGGCCGGGCTGGCCGAGGAGGTTCTCACGCGGCACGCGGACGTCGTCGAAGTTGAGGACGCAGGTGCTCGAGGCGCGGATGCCGAGCTTCTTCTCCTTCTTGGCGATGGAGAAGCCGGGGGTGCCCTTGTCGACGACGAAGGCGGTGATGCCCTTGTAGCCCTTGGACGGGTCGAGGTTGGCGAAGACGATGAAGACGTCGGCCTCGACGGCGTTGGTGATCCACATCTTGCCTCCCGAGATCGCGTACCCGCCGTCGGCCGTCTCGGTCGCCTTGGTGCCGAGCGCGAAGGCGTCGGACCCGGATGCCGGCTCCGACAGGCAGAACGAGGCCACCCGGCTCGTCGCCAGCAGCGGCAGGTACTTGCGCTTCAGGTGGTCGGAGCCGTACTTGAGGAAGGCGGTGTTGCAGAGCGTGTTGTGCACGTCCACCAGGACGCTCACGCTCGGGTCCACGCGTGCCAGCTCCTCGATGCCCACAATCGCCGCCGTGAAGTTCATGCCCGCCCCACCGTACTCCTCCGGTATCTCGACGCTCATCAGGCCCTGCTCGAACAGCTGCTGCACCAACGTCGGGTCCATGGCCTCCGACTCGTCCATCTCCCGCACCTTGGGCAGGATCACCTCGTTGGCGAAGCGGGACACCGCGTCCGCCATGGCCGTCTCCACCTCGGATAGGTGGCTTATCGGCGTGGGAGGGATCTCGGATAGGTCGTCGGACCGGAGTGGTGACGTCGTGCTTAGACAACGAGGGGCGCTACTGTTTTTTTGGGGTTTTTTTGTTTTGTTTTGTTTTCGTCATGATATCAGTACTGTCACTCATCATACAGATGATCACTCATCGTATAGATGATTCACAGGAGAGAAAAGAAGAAGAGAAGAAGTACATACCCCGGTATTGTCGCCTTGGCAAATGCCTGCCTCATCACTCCGCTGCCCACGCCCTTTTGCACGAGACAGCAGGTGCTGCCCCTCAGCGCAGGACGAAGAGCCCGGGTAAACGAGGACATGCCTGTGCGGGGGAACGGGATCAAGGATGGATTGAAAAGAAGAGGTGCATATATCTTGATGAAATAATAATTAGCGTGAAAGAGTGAGAGAGAGAGAGAGAGAGAGAGAGAGAGAGAGAGAGAGAGAGAGAGAGGAGAGATGGAGACTGTGTGTGCGTGTGTGTTTGTAGAAGGAGGAGGAAACACCGCCGATGACGGAAAATAATAAGCCACCATGGGTAAGCCACCATGGGGAACAGTAGAGTTCGTCTCGGCTCACCCACCTCAAGCCGAGGATAACCATCGCCGAAGTTTGGGGGAGTCCGGGGTTACGGTAGTTTTGCCGCTGATTACCCCACATCAGCATGTGATGGGAGATCTGAAAGTACCTTCCCCCCCCCCCAATTGGGTCACGTGATTCTGTGCCAAGAGAAGAGAGAGAGAGAGAGCAGGGGAAAAAAAAAAAAGGGACAATCGGCTTTGATGATAGTGGTCTGTCTCTTTGCTGGAGCAAGGGGAGAGAAAGAACAAGCCGACGAAGGAACAATCACCCCAACTCCCGTCGAGAAAAACAGAAGAAAACAATCTCCTCCCTCCCCCCCCCCCCGCCTCAAAAAAAAAGAGGGAATTAAAAAAAAAAATGGTCGGCTCAATCGTGCGCAACCTCTTCTCCCCGGCGACCCGTCGTCTGGCCGCCATCCGACCGTCCATCCTGACGATGACGAATCCCCTGACCACATCCTCCTCCTCCTCTTCCATCATCGCCAACGCCAACGTCAGCGCCAAAGCCTTCTCGACCACCGTACCCCGTCCCGCGACTCTCAACCAGGTCCTCCGGGGATGCCGCAAGGGCAAGCGCGCTCGCCACGCCACCTCCCCGGCCCTGGCGGGCGCCAACTCCCCGTCCATGAAGGGCGTGTGCCTGCGCGTCGGCGTCGTCCGTCCCAAGAAGCCCAACTCCGGAGAGCGCAAGATCGCCCGTGTCAAGCTCTCGTCCGGGACCCACGTGACCGCCTACATCCCCGGCGAGGGTCACAATATCCAGCAGCACAGCGTCGTCCTCGTGCGAGGCGGTAGGGCCCAGGATTGTCCCGGTGTGAGGTATCATCTCGTTCGTGGTGCACTCGATCTGGTATGTCTTCCTTCACCTCTTCTCTTCTCTCTCTCCTCTGTTTCTTTCACATTTTTTATTTATTTACATTTTTTCAAACGTTTTTTTTTTTTAAAAAAAAAAACATCTTCTTTCAAAGAGGAGATGAGAAAAAGATCAAATCTTTACTCATCCGTCCATCCGTCCACCCCCCCTCCCCCAATTCCTTCCTTCCTTCCTCCTATATACATCCATACAAAAATCACCATCCATCCTCTCCTCACGAATCGTTGCTAACCCGGAAACAGGGCGGTGTTGCTAGCCGAGCTACCAGCAGGAGTAAATACGGAACCAAGAAGCCCAAGAAGGCTACCGTGGGTTAAACACGACGCTGCATTTGGCAATCAAGAAATCCCCGTCCCTGCTTTCTCCCACCTACCCAGAAAGCTATCCCCTCCAAAGATAGTGCGGGTACAGAATACATTGTACAACAGACATGAGAGTCACAGCGAAATCAGATATAATCAAGCCAATATCAAAACAAAGAGATACTCTGTCCGTCTATGTAGAAGATAACCGAAAAGGAAGCATACACGAGCCACTCGGCTGCTGCGCCTCATATGTAATACAATTCAAAAGAGTCATACAAGAAAAGCCAACCCGTTATTAAAAAAAAAAAAGAAACCAAGACGCCATGTTGTGTTGTGTCGTGTCGTGGTTGGCGGTATCGCACCTTTCCCCTCTATTCATCATCCAGATCCTTCTTCTCCGAGTGTGTGTGTTCCCACTACGGGAATCGAATCATAGCACAGCCAGTGTCCCCTACCAGGGCATGCTGTGGGAAAAAAAAACAAGGATCGTGTGTGTACGGCATGAGATGTGCACATTGTTTTTTTCTTCCTTCTTCAATCTTATTTTCCTGAATCATGTCTGGGCCTCGTAACCTGCGGGCTTCGTCATCTTGTTCACTTCGAAGAAGCGGTTGGTGCCTGTGGAGTCGGGGTCGGGGTAGGGTGGTTAGCAGCTGTACAGTCTGAGACGGGGCAGAGATGAAGGGTGAGTGAGGGATGACAGAGAAAAGACATACAGGAGTATCCCTTCCAGTCAAAGTTCTTGGAAGGGTCGCAGTGGCAGCGGAGGTCCAGACGGGTCTGCTCGCCGGTGGGGCAGTGGGTGAAGGGGTTGTGGAAGTAGGCGATGTCGTTGAAGAACTTGATCTCGTCCTTCCGGAGCAGGATGGCGGCGGCGATGGAGTGGACGGGGGCGTCACCCCAGCGTTCGTAGAAGAAGCCACCGTCTCGGTCGAGGCTGTTGAAGAAGTCGACGTAGGCGTCGCTGCGGAGCCACTCGAGGGAGCCGACCTCGAAGTTGGACCAGAAGTGGCACTTGTTGTAGGTCTCGCCGCCGTCGTCGCTGACAAAGTCGAGCGAGTTGTCCTCGGCGATGTGCTCGGGGTGGTTGAGCATGAACTTCTTGGCGCTGTCCCAGAGCGTCGGGATGGTCTCGGGGTACTCGTAGAGGCTGAGGACGAAGCTGTACTTCTTGTTCTCCTCGACCATGACGCGGAAGGGGTCGTAGTGCAGGTCGCAGTAGAGCTCGATGGACGGCTCGACGCGCCAGTAGTACTCGTAGTTGAGCATGAGGGGGTGGCGGAAGAAGAAGCCGGACTCGAAGCGGCACATGTGGCGGTAGCTGACCGAGTCTCCGTAGATGATCTCGCGGGCCTTCATGTCCTCGCGCACCCTCTTGGCCTTGTCCTGGTCGATCCACTCGGGGTAGGACCAGTGCTCGTCGGGGATCAGGCCGTAGTGCGCCGTCCCCGAGACGAGGGAGCTCGTCACCTTCTTGAAGTTGTCATCGAAGGGCTTGTCGTTCAGGAAGACCCAGTCGTAGTTGTACCGGCGGTTGAAGCGGTCCTCGACCTGGGTGATCGACTTGGCAATCTCCCACACGTCCGAGTTGCGGGCGAGCGTGACAAAGGTGGCGTTCATACGGGGGCCGGGGGCGATGCCGACGAGATCGTCCCAGCCCGGGTCAGCCGGCGTCAAGGCCAGGGGGTTCTGCTTGCCCAGGGCCGACTCCTCGAGGAGCTTGGACGACGACTTCTTGGGCGCCCCCTTGGAGGAGGCGGCGGCGGCGGCGTCGGCGGCGTCTCCGAAGGCGCTCTCCTTGCCGCCCTTGCCGCCCTTGCCGGGCTCGGCGTCGGTCTCCTTCTCCCCCGCGACGGCGGGAACGTCTGGATCGGGGACGGCCTCCTCGTCAGAGGTGGTGTCCTGGGGCACGTCCTTGATGGGGGGTTCGGCGGGCGACTCGGGACGCGCGCCCTCCTGAGACCAGGTGGTACCCTTGGTCAGGGAGTTACGGGCCATGGCCACGCTATCATATCTAGAGTGGGAGACGAAGTAGAAGACACCGAGGGTCTAGTCAAGAGGTCGCGTCAGCCGGATGCATCCCATACATCACCATTCCCGGCGGTGCACACGAGCATGGTTTGGGGGGGGGGATGGTCCCGTACCAGGATTGCCAGGGCGAGGTAGCGCACAACACGCGTGTTGCCCGTGGCCAGCATGTCTGCGGTATTGCTTTATTCGATGGTTGCAATCGAGATAACGTCTCCTTCCTGGAATCTCTCGATGATGTCGAGAGAACAAAAAAGGCGGGTTTGCGTCCCGTCGGTTGCAGGTGATGGGGAAACCGTCACCGTTGGCAAAAGACGAGGAGAGGAGGAGAGGGGGGGGAGGGAAGGGCGGGTGGCGAAATTGATCCCCTGGGGAGCCAAGTATGGGAAATCGGCACAGCGGCGTCGCGGGTGCAACACGTGTCTCGGAAGCAAGGCTAGATGATCATGTCGTGGCACCCCCGGAGCCCGTTGGAAGAGAAGTGGGAAAGATGAAGAGGGAGAGCAGAGATGGAAGAAGAAGAAGAAGAAGAGGAAGTATGATGAAAGAAGAAGAAGAAGAAACCGACCCCCGAGAGAAGGGAGAACAAGGGAGAGCGAAGGGGAAAAAAAAAAAAAAAGTTTTGAGCCGTCAGCTAGAAGGAGTGCCAGAGGCCCAGAGCCTAGAGGCCTAAACCCCGTATTTTCGGCAGCGCATACTCGTAGCACTACACTCCGTACTCCGTGCAGGTTATCTGAGAAGGTGCGCTGTACGAGACCGGTACGAGGTTCGATCCTAGAGCCTACGAGTACGTGCACTGGGTGTGCGACCCCCCTGCCACAGAGCGCCCCAAATCACGTTCACCCGCCTTCGCATGCATCGTACGCATCTTTTACAGCTTTTGCCGGTGTGCCACCTGGGGGTTTAGTAGCGGCCGTGATGACGGTATCTGGGATAGGGAGGGGAGAGAAAGTTCCGTTGCGCGTCCTCAGTCGCAAGGAAGCACCGGCAATGGCCTATTTTTAATACATCATCTGGGACTATCAATACTACAGAGCAGAGAGTAAGCAATCTGTACGGATTGCCTGTACGGAGTATTCCGTGTATTCCGTACCTGTACGGCGAGTATCAATCCGTACAGCCTCTGCAGATAGACATGACGGCAGCTGATTGCACCTTCGCATTGGCCCCATGGGCCCATATCGCCATGCCTTGGCCCTGATTGCCGTCCTGGATGAAACACTGGCTTCCAAGCCGCAGCGCAGGGGTCAGGCTCCAGCCACACACACGCTACAGATTATACGGGGACGATAAGAGATCGCTATCATCAGCCCCCCCCCCCCCTTCCCCCTCCCCTGCAGTCCATCAGCGTCCCACTTCCGGTGTCCAGGTAGACAGACATTGGCAAATGAGCATTCGGACCAGAGGCGACCAGAATCGACACTAGCCACATACATGCCATCTGTATTGCAGGTACGGAGTACAGGTATTACGTCTTGCATGTAGAATCTAACACCAGCCACATAAAACCAGCAGCCACATAAAACCATCAGCCGTAAAACCATCAGCCCCAGATACCAAACGCCAGCCACTTCGAATAGCATCATACTCAGCACGACACTGCCAAGACGAGAGAGAGGGGACATCAAACAAGAACTCTCTGATATTGTTTCCTTTCCCCACGGGAACATGTGCCCAGCCAGCGCTGTGGCTCATGTTTCGGACGACCGTGGGTCCCATGATCATGATACTCACATGCAGAGTAAGAGCTGGCTGATTCGACTTGTCCGTATGCATTCTCTCACTCCTCTGCTCTGGTTTCTGACATCATACATCATAGTATGACAATGCTGCTCCACGCACGGATCTGTACATGTGCAGTGCTAGCCTTAGAGTTACGGTACGGGCTACTCTCGACTGGATCCTCTCATAGACTCCTCCTCAATCGCACCTCCGAGATCCCCCAGCTCAGCCTTCATTCTCAGATCCATTTGCCCGTACCCATCTGCCCCCGTCGGTTACTTCCACGCTGCTACTTCCATGCTCAGCCACTATCATGTATCATCTCCCAAGATGCACGATAAACCCCAACCCGACCAACCCCCCCCGCCCAACCAGGATAAGACTAAAAATAAAAATTCTGTCCGTGCTCCCTCCGTTGATCCTCCGTTGTGGATCCTCCGTCCCTCACCCTTCTACGGCAAAATGACGGAGCCGGATCACGGCGCTCAGCGGAGGTGTAGATCGGAATAATGACCGGAGCATCGAAACGACGTCAAACTCGACCTTGAAGACGTCCTCGACCGAGTTCCCCCTTCCCAACAACGTCACCTCTCTCTCTCTCT